CCTCTCTACCAAGTGTCTCTTCATGTCTCAGATTCCACAGGTCCTTCCATGTGCCCTAAATCCATGGTGCAAGTCCAAAGCTGAGAAGCAAGCAGGCCTCCTTCTTCACGTGTCTTCTTCATGTGTCTCTGTTCCACACGCTTCCTCCAGTCTCCTCTATGAGGCTTTTCTCCCAGTTTTCTTCATCCTCTCCTCCCACTCAGCTCTGCCCTTCATTAGGTGAGGCAGGGGACACAGAACCTCCATTTTCACAAAGATCACACTCTGTAACAATTTCCTTTCTCACAATGTGGGGCAGTTGTGGTTTTTTTGACCAAGATTAGTTTAAGAAAATCAAGAAACAACTATAAACCAGACACACAGTACAGGGGAAGGGAAGAGGTTTTAGGATCAAAACAAGGGGGGGTGGGAATTATATGACGACTATAATCAAGATGAAAATGTATACATTGTGCAACAATTAAAATGATGTAAAAAATGTATAAAATAAAAAACTGAAAATAAAGAAAATTAGCACAGATTTTTAGTATGTTATTCCAGGTTAAACTGTTGGTATGTGGAGTGACAGGACTTGAATTTAAATGAACACACTTTGGACACAACTTCTTCTCTTAGTACCGATCATTTATGATATTTTCTATGTAACTTCTTCATTTTCTCATTCAGTGGCAGGGAAAATGAGGTCGCAAACAATTGAGAGAGGTCAGGAGGCCTCGTTTTTTCTTGGGAGAATAGAAATTGAGAAATTAAGAGCCTCTTCTAATGTGCATGATTTTTTTTTTTTTAAAGATTTATTTATTTGGCCTCCCCAGTGGCACAGCACATTGGGTGCTGTGCTGTGAAGCTGTCTGCAGCCTCTGCAGAGTGAGTTCAGGTCCCAGCCAGGCAGGAAGAAATCCACATGGCGCAGGGGACCTCTCCTGCCTCACCTGCTGCTCCCCTTAGCAGTGTATTTCACTCAGTCTGCTTGTTCTGTTGCCTGCTCTGTCTCTGGTGAGTCCTCTCACCCTCCTGTGCCTCTGACTGTACCCCACTTCTTGTATAAATGAATGAATCTTTAAAAAAATTATTTATTTATGCATACAAGAGTGGGGTACAGGCCAGAGACACAGGGTGTGGAAGGATTCACCAGAGACAGAGTGAGGAAGAGAACAGGCAGACTGACCAAAGTGCACTGCTGAGGGGAGCAGCAGGCAAGTCAAGAGAGGTCTGCCGTGCCATGTGGGTAGCTCCCTGGCTGGGACTCGAACTCATGCTGCAGTGGCTGCAGATAGCCTCATAGGTTGCATCTTAATCCTTGCGCCACCAGGGAGGCACCCTAATGTGCATGATATTTAGGAAAAATCTGACACAGGGCAAGTTATAAACATCCTGTTGAGAAATAAAGGATGTCAAAATGCAAAAGAAAGGAGGCAGCAAGGAAAAGGTGGCAGAATGTTGGAAATAAGCTCAATGCCTTAGATGCTCCCAAGGCAAAAGGCACTCCAGAGAAGTGCATGAGGGTTCAAGAAGGTGCAAGGGCCTCGTTCACAAATAGTCATGGGGAATGTACAATCCAGAGGATTCAAATATGGATGCATTGTCTTAGGAAAGCAACAGTTGGCGTATTCATAGATGAGTGACCCATGGTTTGTGACATTGTAAAAGGAGACAGTGCCCGCCTCATAGTCTAGGAAAACCCCAACACGATTGGGAGGGACGGTCATGGAAAGAGACAAAATCTTGGGATCACGGGAGGGAGTTTCCTCATCAAAAGCAAGATACTGTGATGGATTCTGTAACCCTATAACCCACATGTAACTTGCAGGCTGTAATCCATAATAAAAATAGGTTTGAATAGGCACTGTACTAAATCTGAAGGTAAAGGAATCTATAATTGGTGGCAAATGGTCTATCCCACGAAACCCCAGGATCCAGGACCTTTTTTTGGATACATCTACCTCCCAGTAATGTTTCCCATTCATGAAAAATGGTGATCCCAAGACAGAATGATAATTACAATAGCTACTCGGATAGTTTGTAACTGGATAATTGCCGCACAAATATCTAACTTCTTTCTTATTTGTAGAAATCGCAAGCGTGGATGGAAAGGTGGTCTGATCCAAGGTGACATCAACTGCAGAAAAATTAGAGGTTTGGGTGAGGGACATGAAGTATCTTTATACATGACATTGTGAGAAGAATCATGAGACTAACTTAGCATGAAATGAAAGAATTTTGATTTTAGGGAGAAATAAAACACTGCAGAATCAGTCTGCATGTGTATTAGAATGAGAAACATGAGTTTCAAAATATGAGCTCTACTAGAAATCAAAAAATTCATAAAGATGAAATGAATAGAATAGAGAAGTTAGATGACATGAAGATTTATCCTTACCCCAGTAGCATCGCACATTCGCCAGGTCTGAAATGATTAAAAAAAAAAAAAGGATCTAAACTGTTAAGTAAAAGTAAAGGACACACCACTGAACTCTATCTCCTCTCCAGATTAAGGGAGTTCCTGAAACTATGGCAGGGAGTAAAGTAGTAAATAAGGGTAGTGCTGACTCCTGGCCAATTCCCACTCAACAGGACATTTCCTCAGTCACGGTCTCCAGTGCCCCCAGCATCACTGTCCACACCTAAAAGCTGTGTTTCTTCCTCACTTGGTCCCTGCCATTGCAACACCCCCCAGTCGCCCAGCCGGCTGACCCCGCCTCACCAGTAAGCCCTTGCAGTATCCCTCTCAGATCCGGAGCTTGGTACACACGTCTTGGTTGTTTGGGAAAAGTTTTTGGCTTCTTCAGAGTGAAATCCCAACACCTAGAATGAGAAAAATAGATCCCCACACCTCTAACATTGTCATTTCAAACTACTGACTTCTTATCTCTTTACTCCAAGGAATGGACTTGAATTCTTACCTGGAAACTAGGAGCAAAAAAGAGTAAATGCTGATCTCAGAGTCAGAATATAATGGGCTGATGTCTACCTCTGTGTGACTCTGGGAAGGTTTTGACCTCTCGAGCAGTTTCTTCCATACAAAGTTAAATCATTAATTTCTCTCCCTCTGCTTGCTAAAAATTGTATGAAATTATGTGTAATAACAGATTTGACAAAATGAAACTTTATTACCTTAAAAAAATGTAGTGTGTAAAAAATCACTGTATTATTTGTGAACCAGAGAGAAAAACAGAAAGGAAGGCTCCAGAACCTGGCTCCTGGGTGTTTGAGTGAGATACATCAAGTTTGGGAACACTCCCTGGAGACAACCAGATTTCAAAATCTACTCCCCACTAGGGAGGCCCTCAGAAAAGCATCTAAGACTCAGGCTCTCTGAGAACAATTGCAAACACTTGGGAAAGAATACATGATGAACTCAGCCTAACAGTGGACTGGATTTTATGTGTTCAGAAAGAAGCTGATCCCCATGTAGGTATGAATTTAAAGTAAGATGCTGCCTCTTGATTCTGGGGGCCAGAGTGTGTGACGAGACGAATCACTTTCTTATAGCAGGGCCCAAATATCCCATGAGATAGTCTATGAAATTTAGATATAAAGGTATTGTTGCTAATTCTGGGTGCTCGGCAGAAAAAGATCTGGGCTTCCCCTATAAAAGTCAAGCACCTGTGATATGCAAGAATTCTAGATACAAGCACACAGAGTGAATAAAATTTATGAGGTCACAGAGGTCTGATAATTCAAAGGCTTGATTATTTTTAAATTATTAATTTTTTTCTTATATCATTGTAGTTCCCATAGTTCTCCCACTCCCGTGTCACTTGTGAACCATCACCATATCCCTTTGTACTCTTGCCTCCCAGTTTTGAACCCCTCCCTTCCCCTCCTCCTTTGTTGGATGCCTCAGATCTATGGTCAGCTTGCTAGTTTTGACTTTTTCTCCACCTTCCTTTGGTTTCTCTACATTCCACATATAAGTGAGACCATCGGTTTTTATCTTTTTCCTTCTGACTAATGTTGGCTAGTATAATCCTTTTCAGCTCCATCTATATTGCTGTAAATAGTAGTATGTTTGTCTGTTTTGATCGCTGAATAATAGTCCATTGTATAAATATACCACAACTTTTTTTTTTTTTTTTTTTTTTATAGAGGCATGCTTTATTATTTGTTTGCTTGTTTTGTTATACATGCACTGGGTACAGTCAGAAGCGCGGAGGTGAGAGAATTGGAGCAGAGCAGGCAGAAGGACCGAAGTACACTGCTGAGGGAGCAGCGGGCGGCAGGAGGGGTCTGCGCGCCATGTGGGACCCTCCTCCGGTGGCCGGGGAGCAGCCAGGGATCGAACCGGCCGCAGAGGCCGCGGGCAGCTTCGCAACCCAGCGCTCAACCGCTATACCACAACTTTTTGATCCATTCTTCTATTTTGGGGTATTTGGGTTGTTTCCATATCTTGACTGTTGTAAATAGTGCTGCAATAAACAGAGGAGTGCAGTTTTCCTTTCAAATTAGTGTTGTTCTGTTCTTTGGGTAGATTCCTAGGAATGGGATCGTTGGATCATATGGAGTTAAGTTTTTAGTGTTCTAAGGAAGCTTCACACAGCTTTCCATAGTGGCTGCAGCAGTTTACAACCCCCCCAACAGTGTAAGAGCATTCCTTTATCTCCACATCCTCTCCAGTATTTGTTGTTTCAATTTTGTTTTTGTGGTGTGGTCCATTCACACTAGAGTGAGGTGGCATCTCATTGCGGTTTTGATTTGGATTTCCCTGGTAACTAGCGATGCTGAAAATTTTTTCATATGCCTATTGGCCATTTGTCAAATGCTTTATCTTTAAAGCTACTACCGACCCAATCTTGTCAGCTTTCTACCATCCCCATTCTTTTCTGTAGTTATCTGGCCCATTCTCAACCCATTTTTTATAAACAGGAATTTAAGACAAAAAGTATACCCATATTTCCCTGCCCACAATGATGCTTCATTGTTAGTGAACACGAGGTTACTCTAAAAAGCATTAAACATCTCTCCACAGCACAAAAAGACCATCGCTGGCCTCCCACACATACCTTTGTATGATGTCAGTCATATCCTGGGAGAAAAGTAAAAAATATTAATTAAAAAAAATCATGAGTCAAGAAGTAATAGGTTCTCCCCACTTATAAGGCTTCATTATATTTCCTTGGCCCCCTGATTAGGTGGGGTAGAGTTGGTCCCATTGTTAGGGACAAATGCAAAGACAAGACCTAGGCCAGACATTCCAGAACCCATGTGATGCTGTCAGGTTTCCCAAGAGGTAGAAACAGTTTTGACTCTTGTGGAAGTCAAGTATGTATCTGGAGATGAGACATACTTGTAAGGAAAAGTAGAAACCCATGATTTTATTCCCCAAATGCAGACTCCCTTTAAGATGATTGAATAAATAATGGTTCCTTCCTGTTTTCAGCAAATATGGAATGTGTATGCTACTATTTGTCAAGCATTATGCCAGGCTTAGGGGAATTTAAAAAATTATATTCTTCAAGAAGTTTGCATGATTTTTTATGAGGTGCACACAGACACAATTAATGTGTTTTCCTGTCTCTCCTCACATTAAACTCTCTACAAGTGACTTCATCCATTCCCCTGAATTCTATACACACATACATGCAGTTGATTTACTACTTTTACTCAATTTTTTTCTCTAAACTGAAGATTAATATATTCACTAGAAAAGTAACAGAAACCAATCACTTAGATTGTCTCATCTGTAACTTCACCAAGTTGTTAACACAATTAAAAAAGAAAAAAGCACACACACACATATTCCAGGGGTAAACAGGAAAAACTATTGCAAAAAAAAAGTTGAAAATAAGTTGGATTGTGTGAAAATAGAAACTACACAATAATAATATATGGGATAGAGTTAAAGCAATACATTTATATTATTAAACACTAAACCAGAAAATATGTTTTCTAAATTTCCATTTTAAGAAAGTAGAAAAGCAACAGTAAGCTAACCACATACAACACAAACACAACAATTATGTAGAGAAGAGAAACAAATGATTCAACATAAAGGAAATCAATGAAATATAAAGTTTGTTCTATAAAAATAGCAATAAAATCAACTAGACATAAACTAAGAAAAAAGGGAAAATGAAAATCACCACAATTAAAAATAAAACAGGGCAGAAGAGAGCCCAGCACTCTAGTGATTTTTTTTTTAATAATGGGGACTGCAGAGAATTTCAGTCTGCAATTTCTCTCTCTCCCTCCTCCTTTCCTTCTCATATTATCCTTTAAACATTCTTATTTATTTTTTTACAATATAGGATCTCTCTCCTCAGGTGTGGTCACCATAGTTTTCCAACCACCAAAGTGCCCAAAGACCTCCCTCCCGCCCCCACCCCCTGACCCAAGGCTCTCCTGAGGACTGCAGTCACTTTCTGAAGGAACGCAGCCAAGGCAACCTAGGAGAGCTTCAGAGTCCTGCACCTCTTGTGCCTCCAGAGTTGGAACCCAGGAGAGAAACTGGGCCTTGGCATATACTTCAAAAATGCAAGAGGGGTGCCAGTCCTGCTCATGGAGGGCCTACCGCTTTTTTTGGGGGGTGGTATCCTACTTCAGATTGCTAATTTTGTTACTTCTGCCACTTTTGCTGCTTAGGGGGCTTTTAGCTGCCTCCCTCCTACACCTGCTGTTCTTTTTTGCCTTCCAACACTTTGGCAAACCAATGAAAACCTTCTCAGCACACCATTGGTTGCTTTGCCTTTATAGACCAGGTGACAAGAACCCTTAGAATAGACAACATGGATTATTCTTCTCAGTTTGGAGTCCTTGTGAAGCCCTTTGGTTTTTCTTGGTATCAAGGGGACATTTCAGTGAATATTGTAGGAATTGAAGGGATGATAATTTATTATTATGAATATCCTCGCAATCTACAAAGCATACAACTTAGACAAACACCTATGAAGACACACATTGCCAAAAACTGACACAAAAATTATAAAAAATTCAAACAGTTACATTATATATATTTAGTCATATACATCTATAATTATATACACATATATGTACCCTTTCACACACAAAAAAGGGCCAGAGTGAGACATCATATGTGCATTCTACTGAATAGTTAAAAATAAACACCAGGCCTTCATTAATTCTTCTCAGAAAACAGAAAAACAAGGGGAAAAATCTCAACCCATTCTGTGGGGGGAAAAAATGCCTGTTGGACTCTGAAGTGCATTTGTTTTTCTGGACAAAGGTGGATCACTCAATTTAAGTAATAAATGCATAACACTAGCACACAATAACAGAGGGATATCAAATACACCTGAACAAAATGCATCTTCTCTCCAAGCTCACACTTTTGCACTGCACTTAATACGTTAATAAAAATGAGTGTGCAGGATAACACACTGCAGAGCAGAAGAACCTTAGTGTCACACCAGAAAGAGCACAACCATACAATGCCTTCATTGTTCTCATGTCTCAGACAGTGGGGTTTCTTTTGAGATCTCACTGTAACAGGGTGGTCCCCAGGAAAGGGGGCGGTTCCAAGTTCCCTGCCCCACCCAAAGCAGGGTGGAGCTAAGGAAAAGAGAAGGAAGGAAGCAGGATGGAGCCACAAGGAGACCTGGAGGAGGCACATGGAGCAGAGACACGTGAGGAAACTGCACTTGCCTTTTGATCGTGGACTGGGTGACACAGATGCAGGTGAGAGACTTGCGGGGATGTGGCAATGGCAGCTTTTCCCTTGATTTTGGTTTTGCTCTTTTCCTTCCAGACTTGTCTGGTTGTTTGATCCTTATCTGTGGGTCCCCACTGAAAGGTGCTTTCGACCTGTGGCAGGCTTTGGGGCCTTGCTCTGGGCCTATCCTATTTGGGGGGGCTTTTACCCACAAGGTAACTGTGGGTGCCTGATTTGAAAACTGTATTATTTGTTTTTTCTGTACTGTAATTTCCTAATTGTATTAAAGTTCCTTTTCATTAGTCTTATGTGTTTTGTGTTGATGCGGCTGATGGTAGAACCTATTTAGAGCAGGCAGGTTTGCAGGGTCTGGGCTGCCCCTCTCCCTGCCCTGTAACATTACCTGCAGCATGTCTATGTCTGACGCTTCCAATCGATGCTTCAGATCTGAGATGAGAATGTCTATCAACTGGCTCTGCTGAATGAGCTCAGTCTCATCCTCTGCCAGTTTATGGAGAATGACTTCTTCTTCCTTATTCAGTTTTTGCAGCTCCGTCTGCTCCGCTGAGTCCACGAGACCTCTCAGTTCTGCAAACTCTGCCTGGACACCTTGTCTCTCACTTTGTATTTGACTCTCAGGAAGGAGAAAAGAGAGAGAGGTGATACTCAACACATCAGGCAGAGACTAGGAACCAGAACTAGCACAACTGTAAATGCAAAGTTCTCACAGCAAAGTGAGATACAAGAAATAATTTTTAAAGATGCTCTTCACCTGTTACTTTCTCTCTATTATATTCCAAAATAACGACCAAGTCTGCAGCCCTGAGTCCAACCCTGAGCCAAACAGAGCAACTGGGTAGTCTCCACGTTCACACAGCTGGACTACTCCTGACCACACCACTCACCCTCTGCCCAAGTGGCACACTGGCCCAGAACCAGGAGCCATGGCGAACGGCTTCCCCCAGGAGAGTCAAAGACTCAAACACATGATGGGAATGGAACAGAGTCTGCACTGCCGTCCTGGCCAGTGTCCTCCACATGAACCTTCCCTCCAAAGACCCATTCACCTGTGCCAGGTTCACTTTTCAATCCCCTCCTCCATCAGGGAAATGATGAAGAGAAGGAAAATCAAATGACTGTGGGATTGTTAATGATCCAATAACAAAAAGGTAGGAAGTTCTTTGTATTATCACCCAAATTCTACCAGATTTCTGTCTAAACCCCTCAGAAAGAGTCTCCTCCTACCTTCAAGGAAGTTCTCCTTTCTTTGACTTGAGCTTCCCAATATCCAGCTTCCTGCAGCTTTTCCCTCATCTGCTTCAGGGCGCCCTGGAGCTTCTCCTGTGAGAGGGGAATCAAGCCAGAGTCAAGCAATGGGCTTTCTCAACATCTGAATACAGGTCATGGAGGAAGTAATCAGATGATCTCTAAACATAAGAGTCACAGAAACTGAAAATATCAATGAGAATCTGAAAGGTCTGGCAGGAGCCAGAGTCACTAGGGTGAAAAGGCATCTGGTGTGTTGCTCAAGGGGGCTGTAGGGTAAAGAAAATATCAGGCTTTTCTGCCCTTCCGCCATCAGGATAGATGATGGATCCTTGTCCTGAATGCATGCCTGATGGCGGGCACCTGGAATAGGGTGTGGGCATAGGTAGATGGGATTCACCTGGGCTAAGACTGTGCTTTTTAAGGGCGGCGTCACGGGGACGCCAGCAGCAGCCGCAGCAGCCGAAGCCGAAGCCGAAAGAGAAGCCGAGAAGCAGCAGAACGAACACTAGAGAGCCCAGATAGAGTGAAGACTTGCTGGGGGGCTGGGAGGCCTGCCAGCCTCCCAGCCAGCACCCCTGCCTGCCATATGCCTGGTGAACCCCAAATAAAAAACCTGAAAAACTACTGAGGACGCTGACTCCTCCTTTACCCGGTCTGCATGGGATCAGAAAACCTGCACTGTGCCCAGTCCGGCCCTTTACAATTGGCGTAAGTTGGCAGGATCCATGCAGACGGGTATTGGAGCCCTCCGAAGACCTGGAGGGACTAAGGAGAACAGACTGTTTGCCTGTGATGACGCTGGAGGCGCCATGGTGGCACAGAAGGTGGACAACATCCACGAGCTACAGGACGAGACCTGGCGTGAAGGAGACGCCCGAGAGAACCAAACAACGACACCCGAAAGGACCGGCCAACGACCCCTAAGGCAGCAGAATCGTCGGGGAGGAGAGGACCACGATTCAGAGCTCTCCAGTGCTGATGCAGGGAGAGGCCAATGGACTTCAACTGCTGGACATGGACTGATGAACTTGGACTGACAATCCCGCCCAAAGGCGGAGGACCTTGCAGGGTGATATGTTTTGGGACCCTGGGGGTGGAACAGTTTTGTTTGTAAACCCCAGGAGATGGGAATCTGGGGGTGGCCAGTGGGCCTAGATGGCCAAAAGCAGCCTGTTATGCCCAGCAGCCAGGTGGAGGAGAAAAGCCAACTAAGAAGGCAAAAGCAGGTACTGATGCTAAGTTGAGAAGCCCTAAGCGGCTGTTAAGCAGCCTGGGTATGCTGAAGACCTGTGAGTCTCGTAAAATCACCTGAGGGTGATGCCCTGCTCATTCTTGAGTGAGGGTGAGGAGCTGAGGAACCTGTCCTTGGGGGACGGGTGGGGAATGTGGCTTGGGGTGGAGCCCAAGCCGAATGCAGAATTTGGATCCCCGACCCATGTGCTTGTGCAGTGGGTTGGCCTGAGTGCAGGGGTCTGTGAGTCGCATGGGTGGCTGTGAAGGCCGAGTGTTGGAGCGACTACAGACAGAAACCCTGAGGGTTGGCAATTACCCCCAACAGAATAAAATTGCCAATCCCAGAGCAAGTGCATCCTGGGGGTGGATGCTGTGTGTGGCTTGTAGCCGAGACTACAGCCAGAGAAGGCCAGGAAGCCTGACGGCTCCTGGTGTGTGACAGTAGATGCCGTGAGTGATTCCCCTCCCTCGTATGAGCAGTGCCTTCGGCAGCAGATTTGGTGGCTCATCTGCTGGTACCAATAATTGTCTTTTGCACTAGGTTGGTGCCCTGCCTGGACTTATTTGTGTTCTGTTGTGTTATATTGTGATGTGCTTTTGTGGGCCATGGCTGCATTGTTTGTTTGTTTAGAAAATTGTATATATATGTATAGACTGTATGGCAGAAAACCCTGAGGGGGTGGACTGTAGGGTAAAGAAAATATCAGGCTTTTCTGCCCTTCCGCCATCAGGATAGATGATGGATCCTTGTCCTGAATGCATGCCTGATGGCGGGCACCTGGAATAGGGTGTGGGCATAGGTAGATGGGATTCAGCTGAGCTAAGACTGTGCTTTTAAGGGCGGCGTCACGGGGACGCCAGCAGCAGTAGCAGCAGCAGCAGTAGAAGCCGAAGCCAAAAGAGAAGCCGAGAAGCAGCAGAACGAACGCTAGAGAGCCCAGATAGAGTGAAGACTTGCTGGGGGCTGGGAGGCCTGCCAGCCTCCCAGCCCCCCAGCCAGCACCCCTGCCTGCCATATGCCTGGTGAACCCCAATAAAAAACCTGCAAAACTACTGAGGACTCTGACTCCTCCTTTACCCGGTCTGCATGGGATCAGAAAACCTGCACTGTGCCCAGTCCGGCCCTTTACAGGGGCCCATGACATCCCCCCACCCCACCCCGGGCACCTGCTGGAAAATCCTGACATGAGAGGAAGCTTCATGGAACATTGAAGACCACAGGCCAAGATGTCCCCTTGAGAATGAGGAAGCACCTAGACATGAGAATGAGGAAGCCCTCCTAGGGGTGAGAATAAGGGCCTGCTGATACCATCAGAAAACAACTCTGTTCCTCCTCAACCCAGTTCCCCCACCTGCAAGCCCTGTTTCCCTCTCCCCATCCTATAAAAACCTGTTTTCCCCTGACAATGGGCGCAACTTCACCGACCCCCACCTTGGGTCTGTGAAGATCGCCTGGGAATTCAGTAGACCCCGCCCCCCCGCCCCTTTAAACTTATTCTGTCATCCTCGTCTTTCTCTGCTGACCCTTTCAGAATATATGACTTAGAAGAAAACCTGCAGTGTGAACATATTAAGACTCAGGCAGAAGTCAGAGAGAAGTCACCATCTGTAGGGTAAGATAAAAAGCATCAGGCTTTTCTGCCCTCCCGCCTTCAGGATAGATGATGGAACCCTGCGGTCCTGAATGCATGCCTGATGGCGCCACCTGGAGTAGGGTGTGGGCAGATGTAGATGGGATTCACCTGGGCTGAGACTGGGCTTTTAAGGGTGGTGTCACGGGGTCCCCAGCAGAAGCCGAGAGGAGAAGCCGAGAAGGCTGGAGAGCCCCGATAGAGTGAAGACTTGCTGGGGACTGAGAGGCCTGCCAGCCTCCCTGCCCCCTGCACCCCTGCCTGCTGTGTACCTGGTAAATCTCAATAAAAAAGCCTGCAAAAGCCACCGAGGGCTCCAGGACTCTGACTCCTCCTTTACCCGGTATAGGGTCAGGAATGGACCCAGTGCAGGTTTTCTGATCTATGCAGACCGGGTAAAGGAGGAGTCAGAGTCCTCAGTGGCTTTTGCAGGTCTTTCATTGGCGTTCACCAGGCATATGGCAGCAGGGGTACTGGGGGGCTGGGAGGCTGGCAGTCCTCCCAGACGCCAGCAAATCCGCACTCTCTCTGGGCTCTCCGGCCTTCTCTTGGCTTCTCCTTCGGCTTCTGCTTTGGCTTCTCTTTCGGCTGCTACTGGCGTCCCCATGACACCACCCTTAAAAGCAGTCTTAGCCCAGGTGTACCCACTTCAGGTGCCCACCATCAGGCATGCATGCAGGATCACAGGGTACCCTCATCTATCCTGATGGCGGGAGGGCAGAAAAGCCTGATACATTTTACCTGACCCTACAGTCCACCCCCTCAGGGTTTTCTGCCATATAATCCACACATACACAACTTTTTTTCTTAGCAAACACAAACAATGCAGCCATGGCCCACAAAAGCAAATACATCGCAATATAACAAAATACAACAGAACACAAATAAGTCCAGGCAGGGCACCAACCTAGTGCAAAAGACAATTATTGGTACCAGCAGATGAGCCACCAAATCTGCTGCCGAAGGCACTGCTCATACGAGGGAGGGGAATCACTCACGGCATCTACTATAACACACCAGGAGCCGTCTGGCTTCCTGGCCTTCTCTGGCTGTAGTCTCGGCTACAAGCCACACACAGCATCCACCCCCAGGATGCACTAGCTCTGGGATTGGTGATTCTATTCTGTTGGGGGTAATCACCAACCCTCAGGGTTTCTGTCTGCAGTCGCTCCAACACTCGGCCTTCACAGCCACCAGTGCGACTCGCAGACCCCTGCACTCAGGCCAACCCACTGCACAAGCACATGGGTCGGGGATCCAAACTCTACATTTGGCTTGGGCTCTACCCCAAGCCACGTTCCCCACCCGTCCCCCAAGGACGGATTCCTCAGCTCCTCACCCTCACTCGACAAGAGCAGGGCATCACCCACAGGTGATTTTACGAGACTCACAGGTCTTCAGCATACTCAGGCTGCTTAACAGCCGCTTAGGGCTTCTCAACTTAGCATCAGTACCTGCTTTTGCCTTCTCAGTTGGCTTTTCTCCTCCACCTGGCTGCTGGGCATAACAGGCTGCTTTTGGCCATCAAGGCCCACCGGCCACCCCTAGATTCCCATCTCCTGGGGTTTACAAACAAAACTGTTCCACCCCCAGGGTCCCAAAACATATCACCCTGCAAGGTCCTCCGCCTTCGGGCGGGATTGTCAGTCCAAGTTCATCAGTTCATGTCCAGCAGTTGAAGTCCGTTGGCCTCTCCCTGCATCAGCACTGGAGAGCTCTGAATCGTGGTCCACTTTTTGCCGATGATTCTGCTGCCTCAGGGGTCTTTGGCTGGTCCTTTCCGGTGTCATTGGCTGGTCCTCTCGGGTGTCTCCTTCTCCGGGTGAGGTCTTATCCCATAGATCCTGGACATTGTCCATCTCCCGGGTCACCATGATGCCTCCAGCGTCGTCACAGGCAGTCTGTTACTCCTTAGTCCCTCCAGGTCTTCGGAGGGCTCCATGCCCGTCTGCAAGGATCATCTTGCCGAATTACGCCAATTGTAAGGGCAGGAATGGACCCAGTGCAGGTTTTCTGATCCCATGCAGACAGGGTAAAGGAGGAGTCAGAGTCCTCAGTGGCTTTTGCAGGTCTTTTATTGGCGTTCACCAGGCATATGGCAGGCAGGGGTGCAGGGGTGCTGGGGGGCTGGGAGGCTGGCAGTCCTCCCAGCCGCCAGCAAATCCGCACTCTCTCTGGGCTCTCTGGCCTTCTCTCGGCTTCTCCTTCGGCTTCTCTTTCGGCTGCTACTGGTGTCCCCATGACATCGCCCTTAAAAACACAGTCTTAGTGCAGGTGTACCCACTTCAGGTGCCCGCCATCAGGCATGCATTCAGGATCACAGGGTTCCCTCATCTATCCTAATGGCGGGAGGGCAGAAAAGCCTGATACATTTTACCTTACCCTACACCCGGTCTGCTGGATCAGAAAACCTGCTTGTGTCCATTCCTGCACCTACACCATCCTTTCCCCAAGACAAGATGATTCTATTTGTCATAGCAGAGAAATTTGATCCTGCAGCAAAGAAACAACATCTCAATCTACCCAGTCCCTCAGTTACACTTCATGTGCAAAGGGAATGATGGGTTTTCATGGGCGCTAGCCCCTCCTCCCCCATTTAACACATGGTTCAAAACATCTACTTCTGACTATAAGTCTTTTGTAATCAGGCTGGACGCACAAAAATGTCCTCCAGGCATTGGAGGTGAGCCTAGTGCTTCTCTTCCCCCAAAATATTCAATTTGTGTCCTCTTATTAGGTAGAACTATGGTAAATCAAATTTTTGTGAGTCTCAGGAGGAAGTGTTATCTTATTTAAAGAGATGACCTAGACTTAGCAACATCTCTAGAAATAAACTATTTTTTAAGGATTTTATTTATGCACAGAAGAACTGGGGTGTAGGCCAGAGGTGAAGGGGGTGAGAGCATTCACCAGAAACAGAGTGGGGAGCAGAACAGGAGAATGGGCTGAAATACACTGCTGAGGGGAGCAGTGGGCGAGACAGAAGTCTGCTGTGCCATGTGTGGGTCAGCCCCCCGGCCCATGTTTGAACTCAGACCATTGTGATGATAGGGCTGAGCCTTAACTCCTACGCCACCAGGGAGGCCTCTAGAAAAAAACTTTTCATGAGAAAAATCTATCTCAAGGCAAGGCAAATATCTAAAGACAAGGTTGTATCATATGAAATTGTCCCTTCCTGGTCCCAGAGACCTGCTCCTCCCTCCTTGACACCCCAGGCTCCTAATACATCCTTAACAGAGGTTATAAATACTGGATCTGGGATCCCTCATGGCACAAGGGTTCAAGTCTCAGTGCTATCAAGTAGTCCCCAGCCACTGCGGCATGAGTTTGATCCCCGGCCAGGAAAGTGACCCCCATGGCACAGCAGACCTCTCCTGTCTCGCCCGCTGCTCCCCTCAGCACTGTATTTCGGTGGATCCACCTGCTCTGCTCCCCACTCTGTCTCTGGATAATTCTCTCACCCCATGCACCTCTGGCTTGTACCCCAGTATTTGTATGCATAAATAAATAAATGAATCTTTAAAAAATAAATAAATACTGGATCTGTCCCGTTTTATTTCAGTATTTACAGTCATGTAAATTCTCTACGTGTACTTTGTTCAATTTCTAATCTGTCTGATGTTAATCTCATTGTTCATCCTGCCCTAGAACTTAAAGCAGTGGGGAATCTTCTTCCCCTGTATCAGCACCATAGGAAGAAAAGTGATCACAGACTTCTGAGCTATGGTGACAAGGTAACCAAGAGATTTCCCATCAAGTGCTATATTCTGCTGTTTTAACTGTATTCTGCTCTCCTACCTTCTTCTCCTGGACAATCTCCTCAATGAGGCATGTCTGGTGACCATGGTGCTCCTGAGACCACTCACAAAGCCAGCAAATGACTTGCCCATCCTGCTTACAGAAGAGCAGGAGTTTCTCTCCATGGCGCACACAGAGCTCTTTCTTCTGCTCCCCCTCTGGGTTCAACTTGACTCCTCTGAGCTGCTCCGCTATGTTGGCCAGATGCCGATTAGGCCGCAGGTGCCCAGGCTTGTAACTGATTCTGCACACAGGGCAGCTCCTCTTCGCTTTCCGGGTTGCTGCGGACAACTTGTTGTTTGCAGTGATGCAGGCTCGGCAGAAGCTGTGGCCACAGTCTAGGCTTAGGGGCTCTTTCAAGAGGTCCAGGCAGATGGGGCAGGTCACCTCCCCCTGGATGTTCACTAAGATGTTTGATGCCATAGCTGTTGCCCCCTACTGGTCGCTCTCCTGGCTTGAGTCTCTTGCTCACAGATCCCTGTATTTGAGAAAGTTGTATTGGAACAAATGAGAAAGCCAGGATACAATTCTAATTGTATAGAAATCAAGGATAGGCTAAGATAAAATATTTAAGAAATAAAAAAAGGGAGGCCCTCCCTTGTGTTGCAAGGGGTTAAGCACAGCACTATGAAGCTATATGCAGCCACAGAAGCAGAGTTTGATCTCCGGCCCAGGGAGCTACCCACATGATGCAGTGGACCTCTACTGTCTCACCCACTGCTCCCCTCAACAGTGTATTTCATTAGATCCTCCTGTTCTGCTCCCACTCTGACTTTGGTGAATCCTCATACCTCTCACCTCTGATCTGTACCCCAGAATTCTTACATGCATATATAAATAAATCTTAAAAAAAAAAAAGGACAGAAATAAGAAAGTGCAGTTCCTGGACTCCAAGCTACTTGATGTTTATCTCCATGAGCAAAGAATTCATCTTGAAGACCAGAGTGAGGCAGAAAAGGTAGACATTTATTATCTAGTTGAATAGGTCATACTGTAACAGGGTGGTCTCCAGGAAAGGGGGAGGTTCCAGGTTCCTTGCCCCACCCAAAGGAGGGTGGAGCTGAGCAGAGAGAGAAGAAGCTGCAGAGGAGACTGAGGAAGGAAAGAAGTAGAATGGGGAGCCAGAAGGAGACCTGGAGGAGGCACATGGAGCTGAGAGACATGTGAAGAACATACATTTGCCTTTTGTTCGTGGACTGGGTGACACAGATGCAGGTGAGAGACCCGTGGGGAGGTGACAATGGCCGTTTTTGTATTGATTTTGATTTTGCTCTTTTCCTTCCAGACTCGTCTGGTTGTTTCCGACCCTTTTCTGTGGGTCCCCACTGGAAGATACTTTAGACTTGTGGCAGGCTTTGGGGCCTTGCTCTGGGCCAATCCCATTTGGATGGAGTTTTACCCACGAGGGGACGGGTAACTTTGGGTGCTTGATTTAGAAACTAGACTCTTTGCCTTTCCTGTGTTGTTTCCTAATTGTATTAAAGTTCCTTTTCATTAAAGTCTCATATGTTTTGTGTTGATGTGGTGGATGGCTGAACCTATTTAGGGCAGGCAGGGGTCTGGGGTGCCCCTTCCTCCCCTGTAACAATCTGTGGAGTCCGGGAGCCAGCCATCCTTGGCTGAATATCTGGTTTTAAGGAATGTGCAGATGGCATTACCCTTGGCCCACAAAGAGATTGTTTTATGGTGTGATGTCATTATTAAGTTAAAAACTAGGCCTCCACTCCTTGTTCAACAGGCAAATTTGGGAGGCTTGACTGGATGAGGGAGTGGATGGGGCTGCCATGGGAACTGGGCATGTGGATCAGCCTGTGTAAGTCCCTGTTTTCAGCACGGTTCAGAATGTTATCTCAAGGCTGGGCCTGTGACCCTAACTGCCTACATGCCCAACTTACTTCCTCCTTTACTTGGTGATCGGTAAAATATGCTTTGCATAAAAATTTTGTTACATGACCCCTGGAATCTGGTCCTTGTTTGTTACCTTCCTATTGCTGAAAACCTAAACAGTTGGGATGCACTTTCCCTTGTCATAGGAGGGTGTTAATGTGAGACCAGATAAAGCATCTCTGGGTGTTTAAAGGCCCTGAAACCCAAGCTAGAAAACCCAAGGCCAGCCAATACCCTACTTCCCCACTAGCCTGGTCCAGTGGTGAGCCTCATAAAGCCAGGATCCTTGATGCTCTTGAGACACAGGGCAAGCTAGAAAGTAGGCAGTTTTAGGGACAGTGCAGGAGGGGACCTCTGAAGAATTTAGGGAGGCTTCAGAGATAAGGACAACCAAGGGAAAGTAACCCATTCCACTAGGAAAAACAAACATCCCAGAACCAAGGACAACATTGTTAATGCTAGTCCTGGTTTCCTTCAGGTGGTAAAGGGAGGTGGAGATTGGAGAAATAGACAGTGGTTTAATTTATGGTCACATTAGAAGGGCAGCTGTTTAACTTCAATGCAGGGATGCCCATCCAGAAGACTGGGCCATGAATTTAAAGATGCAGCAAATGGGGAAAGAGAAAGCTGTTAGATAAGGAATGTGAAGATCCCCCACTCAGTAGCAAATTAAGTGAGACAGAGGAGAACTAACCAATCACAAAGAGACTGGTGGAGCTTTAGAATAATGAGGGAAAAAGGTATATATTCCCTGAGACACGACTCCACTTTGGTTTCCTTGCCCCTCCCAGGCCTGGTTCCCTGGCCTGGGAGTCCCACTTTATTTCTGCTCTTTTTCTCCTCAATAAACTTTTTCTTTCTATAAACAAACCTGTCTCTTCTCGCTTGCTTGCCTGAGCGTCTGCGAAGTTCCTGCTGCGGCTTCGTGAGACACCAACCCGTGGGGGTCTAGTGGCTGGGACTCAGGGCTGCCCTGCAGCCTGGGATCTGTTCCTGGCTGGGAGACTAGGCCTGACAATTCCGGTATCACTCTCAACTAGGGAGTGTGGCTCAGGGTGGCTGCTGCCTGCCCTCTTCTAGTGTGACCACAGTAAATGTTCCCTGCTTGAAAACAGTTACTTTCTCTTCAAGATTTATGTACAATATTGGAGGAAACCAGACAAAGACCCTGCAGAACCTGCAACAATTTAACACAATTTATTTGCAGCTTCTGTTGCATTGCTAGTGCACAACTTAGGGGTATCATGGGATCCCCCAGAATTCTACTTTCTAAAGGGATCTAGTCATCTATATGATGGAGGATAAGCATAGAAAAAAGTGGAAAGGAAACCCACAAGATCAGAACCTGGCTGACAAAGCCAAGAGCTGGAGGTGGGGGTAGAAGCCATTAACCCAGCTATAGGAGCTAAAATCCTTATGAGCCAAAGCATAGATCACAAAGCAGAAGACCCAAGCAGGTAGGGGGTGTAAGGAGAAGAGACTTAAAGGTAAACATATGGAGATTGAGGACCATTGTAGAAATCTGTCCCCTTTCAAATTCTACATAGTTTATTCCAAGTCAACAACAAACAAACCACTCCAGGAAGGAGTGGCTCCTCCCAAAGAGAAGGAGACTGTATCAGGGCAGTCTCTGCACAGGCTCCAGGCAGCAATCCCACTGCCCACCCACTACGCAGGTGCTCCTTTTGCCAACTCGGTCTTCCACAGCCCTCCTGCCTGCCTGTGACCTGTACCTGCTGGGAATCTCTGCACTGACCTCCCTCAACAGAGGCTGCTCCCCTCAAGACACCTGTCTGAAACCATGCAGGTGTCTGTCTTAGCAAACCTGTCCCTATTGGGGCAGCACCTTCTTCCTGCACGTGATATGCAAGTGTCCTTTATTCTTCTCTCCCTTTTATAATAAACCTGCTCTTTAAATATACCTAACATTACTGTCTCGTGGAGAAACCCACTCAGGAAACTTGCTGCGAGCTGCTGAAAGGGGAGCTCTGGTGACACCTTTCCCAGAGTGAACCCAAGAGCCCCGCCCTCCAAACCCAACAACTGCAAAAACGACATCATGTACACACAAAGGCAAAACAAACCTTCAGTGGAATTGTTAGGGGGAAAGGATGTCCTGAGATAATCTCATACAGGCTTTGTGGACTCCACCCCCACTCCAGACTAAAGCCATCAGGACATTGGGAAAGACAAATCCCATCACCACCAAGGGGAGGGTGGCTGGGACCTGAGGGTGGAGTTGGGCAGCCAGGTTGGATATAAAAACCAAACACGTGGGCCTTGCTCTCTCTCTGGCTCGCGATCGCTCGCCTCCTGGCTTCACCGCTCCTGGCTGGCGGCCAGCTCTCAGAGCGCCATTTTGGGATTCCTGATCGGCGGATCGGGTAGGACTCATTTAAAACTTTGTCTCCCACTTTTCTCCCAGAGCTGTACATTTCCTCATTTCCCCTTCCCTTGTAAATAAACCTTTTATTAACCTTTCACGTGTGCCTGCAGTAGAGCATTGATAAGTCCTTTTAAGCGCGCGGGTGAGGACCCACAGTCAGGCACCCCGTTTTGTATCGGGGTTGCTCTACAACAGAATATCACTTGAATAGAATTAGTGTGCAGAGGGCGAGAAAAGAAAAGATACTTTCGAAACAAAATTATCCATCCCTTAATGAGTGGCCTCCACTGAGGGAGGTCAGTGAAGAGAAGCCCTGGCATGGGACAGGTCACGGACAGGCAGGAGGCTGCCGCCCTGCAGGAGAGAGTGGGTGAAACGAAGCTTCTGTATAATCACAGGTGGGCAGTGGGAGTGTAGCCCCCAGCCACTGTAGAGACTGCACTGATACCGTCTTCTTTTTGGGAGGGGCTCACTCCTTGTGAGACTTCCCTTAGTTGCTGATTTTGGATAACTCTGTAGAATCTGAAAGGGCCAAGAGATTCCACAATGAACTCAATCTCTATATCTTTACCCTTGGACCTGTGCTCTAGACACTCCCTACAGCAGCCTGACACCTGATATTTACTCTTTGCCTTTGCTCTAGACTCCCTACAGCAGCCTGATACCTGCTTGGGTCTTAAAGGGCTTTGTGATCTAGGCATTGGCACCTAAGGATCTTGGTTTCTATAGCTGTGTTGATGGCTATGCTAACCTTTCTACCCCCAACTCTTTTCTACCCCCACAAGAGCCAGATTTCTGGTCTTGTGGCGCCTCCTTTTCAGTTTTTTTTTTTTTTATTCCTGTCCTCCATCATAAGCAAATGTCCTTTATTCTTATCTCCCTTTTATAATAAACCTGCCCTTTTGGATATAACTGACATCTCCATCTTGAGGAGAAACTCGCCTGGGAAACTCGCCGGTGCGGTGAAAGGGGAGCTGTGGTGAAGCTTTTCCCAGCATCAACCCAAGGACCCCGTTCTCAAACCCAAGATCTCCAAAACCGACCTCACAAGTGTCCTTATAATAAACCTGCCCTTTCGGATAGAACTAAATGTCTTTGTCTCATGGGGAAACTGCCCAAATGCTGCTGAAAGGGGAGCTCTGGTGAAATTTTCTCACATGTTACCCAAGAACCGCTCTCTGAACCCCACATCTCT